TTTAATGAACCGGCTATCGATTGAATCAAACCGAAATAAAGATTTGAAAATTCTATAGAGATTATAGAGAAAGCTACTCAAACTTTTCGTACGGTATTTACGCAAATGATAGTTAATCATAATAATTATATTTTTGGGCAAAACAGTCTGCAACAAGATCAAGATAATTTAAGCCATTTGAAAGCTGAAGTTTCTAAAAAGTTGAGTTGATAGAAAATTCATCAATGACAAAATTGAATTTACCAGAAATTACGAAAAAAAATGTTGAAGAATAACATTGAACTTATGCAGTTACAAACACAAAAACTTGATACACTACATATGATATCAACGTTTAAAAAATTAATACAATGCAACAAAATTTAAAAATGATCAAATTTGCTTCGAATATGATTGAAATAAGAAATTTCGGGAAAAGTTTCAATCACTAGTTACTGAGCAGAAAGATTTGAACCTTATTATTTTGAATTTGAAAAAACGTTTGCAATGCCTTTCTTCCGACGAATGTGATATCGATTCTTATGATAAATCTACTCCCAATTGTTTAGAAAGCGATGTAGTAATAATAGATAAGGGAATACCGGAAAAGACATCTGCAATATTTGATAAATTTAATTTGCCTACACTAATTGTGACTCCCATGAGAAATGCGGACCATTTAATTATCAAACGGCGGTTGTTGAGAAAGATATACCCAGCCTATACTATCAAAAAAATATGTAGATAAATCTGTCAACAAGGAATCCTCTGCTAGCTTGAAATTGAACAATTTAGCAAATAATAATACGAAAGAAGCATTTACACCGGCTCAGTTACAAACACAGACCCTTGATAGGCAAAACGCAAAACCCCAAGTGGTAACAGAATTGACTACAAATAAAGAAGATAAATCGCAATCTGCTGAGCTTTTGAAAAGAAGGAAAACTTCAAATACAGCAGATGAAAATCTTGATCAAAATAAAAAACAATCATACAAGTAATATCTGATACAACATATCAAGATAATGTGGTCGTATCTCAATATTTTACAAAGCAAAAATAATAACAAATGATAGTTTAAATAAAAATCGGATACAGCTCTTGGGAATAAATCATTTACTCAACCGCATAATATGGCAAAACCCCAAAAGCGTTTGGGACCTTCGCAGCGAAATGTGGCGTCTCAACCAAATAAGAAACCAAAAAGATAGATAATATGCAATTTGTCAAGCCTATTATTTCAGAGCCTTTGAAACAGACCGAAATCAATAAATCTGGATTTAAAAACCCAGATAAGAAAACTCAAGGAAACAATAAGACTATTAAATCAGTTCATTTCAGTGAACAGATATCACAAGATATATCTGAAAAACACACCACAATTATCAAAACGCAAGGAAGATACATTTGAATCAGAAAAGTTAGGTATCAGTCGGCGCAATAATGAAGCTCAGATGCAAACTCAAACTCATTCCAACCAAATTTTGGGCCAAAAATCTACAGAGAGATGCAAACGATGCTGGCTTTTCTAATAAATCTGCATTTGAAAATAGCTTTCTGGATGGATTCAATACTACTAGCGAAAGTGATCGAGAGGATACTAATGATAATTTAAGTTTTGGTCATTTTAAATGCAATATATCTGAGGAGTCTTCCAAATCAACGAATTCTAATGATTTTAACTTCATTACTGATAATGTATCAAAACCGAGTTCTACTACTGATTATACAGATTTATTTGGTCTTTTTTAAGAAACTGTGTAAAATTCAAGTTATTTTTAATTTTGTAGAACTATTTTAAATAAAAAAATACTCTGTCATAGAACAATAAGTTTATAATAAATGTATCAAAATAGAAATACTCTAGTTTATATATGCATTGTTTTTTGTTTTTATATTATATAGATAATAATGCTTACGATAATGCTGCCAAAAGGAGGCATCAACTGCTTTTAAATGGAATTTATAAACTATGATTTACACATTTATATTAATATAAAATATCAAACAAATTATTTTTTTGGAAACGATAAATAATGTTTCGAATCAAATTTTATGAGATATCGCCATAGACCTAATATTACATGTAAATAAGGTCTATGGATCTCGCATACATCTCGCACTTCATGTCAGATGTCTTTTGCGTATCTGTCACTGTCATTTTAACACTGTCAAAACATGATTTCAAATCGTTTTCATTTGAATTGTATTATTTGATTTTTTAATAGAATTGTTGTCATAAATTGTGAAAAATATGAATTATGAATTACTTTTATTTCCATATATATAGCATATTGTATTTATCAATACAATAATGTGTTCTTTACTGACTTGGTAATTGTAGGTAGGAATGAGCCAACATTCAAGTTATAATAATTATATTGAAGCTAAAAGTTATGGTAAACATTTAAGCTTTTTAAAAGCATACATACTTTTACCCTCTATTGAATTACCTTGTTTGTCTAATTGATTGATTCATTTAGAATACTATTATGTCTGCAATTTTATCTTCAAGTACCTATTCAAGTAAAAGTGTTGTAGACAAACAAAATTACTTGCAAATCTCCATAATGCTGTAAAACTTGCCAAAATAAGTATGGAGGAAGGACAGAATTAGCTACAGAATCTGATAATAGGTATTCATCGAAATTATAAAATTACATTTATATTACATATATATTTCTCACTTTGTTATTCTTTTAAGTATTGTTATTTTGTGTCATTGTTTCGAAGCTGTTTTAAATCATGGTCTTCGACAACAGCCTTCTTCAGCCCTGAAACAAATGGCAGAATTGATTGCGGGTCCTGAAACACCCACATTTTGGAATTATGTTGAAAGTCAACTTACTAGTCATGAAAGGAGAGATACACATCGTTGCGACTAGTAAATACATTGAATTTAAATTGCCTGAACTTAGAAATTGGGATGCAATGCTTTATCTTTCATTTCTAGGTTTGGACTGATAGGGGCCGAGCAAGATCTCTTTTACGAGCTGCAATAAATGAAAGGTCTTTAGAGAGATATTTACACTGCTGGCTTGGTCATTCATCTTTAGAACAATATTATGAAGAATGGGCAATAATGAGAGATCCAGAAGCTAGTGCCATGTTGCCTAACTTAGCTGCAGGTTTAATATCTATTTTATTTGCTATTACTATTGATAGTTTGGATCTTAACTCGTCAAAAGATCTAAATTTAGAAATATTGCATCGATCAGAAACTATAATAGCAGTACCACCACCAACTATTCCAAAAAGAAAATCTGGAAATCATCATGTGAATATACTGAAATACTGTTTATATTTTGCTTATTATTTTAATTTATTATAGTTTATAATATAGGTAATATCATTTGATGATGATGATGAGAATGCATTAATATCCAAAACTGATCCCACAAGTCACCCTGTTAAAAAGTATTCAGTCAACCTTCAAAGAGTTCCGAAATAAAACTAGATTCAAATAACGTAGAACAAGAAGTAATCAACTCTGAAAAAGTTGAAATAATTACTTCTGCAAAAGAAAATGAAAGCACAAGTATTGTAAGTATTTATAAAAATAAAATATAATTGCACTAGCAAAAAATAATGGGCAATAATTTTTTTTGTAAGCTAACTGATGAACATCATGACAAGAGTCAAGTTGTTCAGGTACACTATCAGAATATTCCACAACATTCTACTAAGGAGAATGTATCAGATCAAGTATCAAATTTAAGTGATTCAGGCTTAGGGGAAGGGCCTTTTCCTTTAGTTGAAAGCTATACATCAAGTACAATTTCATTAAAAGGTTCTGTGGATTCAACAGAATCAAACACTTTTCAAACTGATATTGAAATATTACAATTAAAATTAGAAGAAAAGGAAGAACGTTGCAACTGGTTAGAGGCTCGTGTAGCTGAATTAAGCAGGTGCGAAGTACAAAAACATTATTTATGCTCTCTTCTTGCAAGCAAATGAAAAAAAGATTATAAATAAATCATTCATTTCAGAGAAAACCAACAATTAAAACAAGCTAATAATTTAGTTTTCTGGTCCATCATTTACAATAAGCATACCAAAAGTGCATAAAATTGGATCACACTATGAATATGAAATTTTAATATCATCAAATGTAAGGTTGAAAAATATTTGTATATTTTAATTTACAAGTAACATTCAATTATTTTCTACAGCATCATAATGAATCATGGAGATTACTCAGAAGATATAATATATTTTATAATTTGCATAAGGAACTATGCAAGAAAAATCCATCACTTAACAAGCTGGATTTTCCTCCAAAAAAGGCTATAGGAAATATGGTAGTGTATAGATAACTGGAAATGCATTCACACAATAATATTTTAAAACCTGCATTTTCACAGAGTAATGTTGTGATTGAAGAACGAAGACAAAGATTGCAGGCATACTTAAGACAACTTATTAATTTGTTGCCTCAATTAGGTTGCTGTACAACCAGAACTCAATTGGAAAGAACTTTAACATTTTTCAGAACAGAGCAAGAAATATAAGTACTTTAAGAAAATATCATAGTATCTAATATATATTTTAAAACATAATATATTTTAATTACGATATAATCATTTTCAATAATTTTATATGTGCTGCAGTTTGTAAATGATTAATATAAAATATATCAAATTATTTAAAAACAAAAATATGAAGTCTATATTATATTATATAAATAAATTGATTAATTCATCTTTTTCTGAATTACACTGCAATAACATAAAATGGCAGAATAGCTATTCTGCCTAAATAATCTAGATTATTTAACCACTAATCTTTTATTGAATTGAAAAGACCATAATTTAAGAATTGTGTCAAAGATAAACTTAAAAAAAAGAAAATTTAAAGTATGAAGTATAAAAATATACAAAAATATTTAAAAAATAGTTTATAGAAGTTGTACAAGATAATTTTAAAGTTACCGCCCAAAGGTATTTCTTCAAAAAGCGATCCTTATCGATGTCAGGCGACTTCATACGAAGTCACAACCGTAAAGAACAATGGCCGACATTTTGCTTTAGGCTGTCACAAAAGCGCTTATTGGTACTTATGTCCAATTAAAGAAAGGTTTAGCCGCATTCATGCACGGTTTTATGTTTCAAAAGTGTATTTTGAAATTATTTTTAGTGAAAATAGTGTAATTTAGTTTAATTATGTCGGGGGAAAGAGAAATAGCCGCTGAGGATAGTATTCGAGTCGTATGCAGGTTCCGGCCCCTGAATGATTCAGAGGAAAAGGCTGGTTCGAAGTTTATTGTCAAGTTTCCAAGTGGAAATGAGGATAATTGCATCACAATCGGGGTAAGAATTAATAGTATTGATTATTTTTTAAAATTAGTTTACATGTCATCGATTGACATAAGGTAGGGTGGGGATGATTTTGCCTACGGGTATTACGATATTACGGAATCAAGATGTTGTACTGGTAATGCATAGATGGCCGCTTTGGCGTTTTTATTAATTTATTTTTGTTATTATTTAAAAGACTTCATTATATGATTTCTGATAAAAACCTTGTTGCACAAATTTACAACGTTTTATACGCGGTAGCCCTCTATGTTTGAGATTGTCATTATTCTAGTATGATTCCAATGATTTGATTCTATTTTTTGATAACAATGATTATTATCATAATTAGTCTATTTACACGTATCAAAACTCATTTTTCTTATACTGTTGCATCGTACTTTCTACAAAATGTGCGTGATATGCAATAAAAATAGATAACTGCATAACATTGCTTTTCCTAAATCATATTTTGGTATTAAATAAAAATCTAATTAGATTCCTATTGCATATATTGTAATAGGATTTTCTAGTTATGCTTAATGTTTGTGATATTGATAATGATTTACATCAATTTTGATCATATCTTATTATTTGTGAAGTTATTTTATTTATTTTTACAGGGATTTTATACATATAAAAGATTTCTTTTTCAAGTATCTATTTCCCTTCATTTTCAGTTGCAAGAAATCTTGCGTCAACATTAATTTGTTTAAAATTGTGTATAATTCAACTAGCCGGAGAAAAGTTGAACGAACTGCATTTATTGTTTTTTTCTATGATTCATATAATATGGCTTCCACTATGATTTTAAAAATGATTTAGTTTCATACATACAATTCAATTAGCACCTTTTTACTCCGCAATCATTTTCATATCTCAACCTGCATGAAAAAAAAATAGTTTTGAAACTTTCGGAAAGTAAAATTCAAAGAATGAAATTTTTGAATTTAAAGCTTTCAACAAACATGCTATTTATTTCATTACAAAAAACTATGAAAACACTAGAGAATCAATATCAATTAAAATTGTTTTTAGTTTTTCCAAATTATACAGGTATCGTTTCATTCATTTCTGAATACTAGACTTTAATACATACTTTATAAATGGCAATGAAGAATAGGAACAGACAATCGAGAAAAAATTTGAACAGTTTCTAATTTTGAACAGTTTCTAAAACATTACATAACATAACCGTTTTAATCTAATGTTTTAATGTAGTATTTCTCCATATCTTCTTTCTGAAGAACCACTTATTCAAAAATAATATACGTAAGTGCGTTTGTATGGTGCTGTAATAAAAAACGATAATTGGAACATTCATTTCTCTGTTATTGTAGTACATACTAGTTGAAATCGGTACACTTTCACTTATAGATTTATGTTTTATGCGCCTTTAAAGCGATCATGACTATGCTATACATGTACATATTTGCATTAAATATGTATTAATTTTCTTTAATAATGGTTACTTATCATTATTAATAATTTACCACTCAGTCACATCTATATATTCCTATATTATATTGCACAATGCAGTTTGAGGAGTTATTATATGTCATACTTTAAATGTTACTTTATCGATTTTGCATTCATAGCGAACATTGTAATCACAACGAAGAGCAGTGATAATATCCACTTTGTCTACTATATTTATCACAATTTATAATAACATATATTATTTATAAACAAATATTTTTTTTACTCGTGTTTGTAAGCCTTGTTTTGTGATGTTCTTGATTTCTTTTTTAGTTTAAATCAAATTAATCCGTAAGAAAATTGTTTAAATTTTCTTCAAATGAGTTAGTTGCCTTAAGGGGTTATTCTAGTCATTTTCAAATCATCATAAAAATAGGGCATTTATTATTTTACTATCATTTATTTCTTTATCACCGTTACAAAGGTACAGAAAAAAGTAAAAAAAAAAAGAAATTAATAATTTTAGAAATTAGCAGTTGTTGAAGTGGGTGGTTTAAAAGAATTGACTTGTGACCATGCCCACGATTGCAAGCCTTCTAGTAATCCAAAATGAAAGATAAAAAAAATTATTAATCTAGAATGATGTTGCAATGGCATATACTAGGATTAATTAAAAAATGGAGTATTTTGGTGCAGAAATTCAAAAAAAAAATTCTGAATGACGACTATTTGAAAAAAAGAACTGATTTTCTTACCACTTTTTTAGGTTCTCGATTTTTTTTAATAGTTAAAATTTAATTTGGGGATGATGCTAGTATATACTTGGGAGAAGTCTATAAAGAAGATTTTCTGAAAATTTCAAATAAATGAGCCCATTAAAACTCTAGAAATCGTGGGCGTCGTATTCAAAAGGACAATTTTGAGAAAACGCGTTTGAAGTTTTGCAAAGGAAGGAAACATAAGAGGATTATCATGGTCAAAAACCTGTATCTCTGAAAATAATTTAAATTTTAAAAAATCCTCTCATACACATAGTCTTAAGCTGATTGAGCTTCGAAAATATAGAACAGAAAAAACGATTTTTTGAATTTCTGCACTAGAATACCCCCTTAACTATTTATACTGCACTTTACGACAGGGCAAGATATTATTTCGACAACCCGCATTGCGTGTTATATATATATATATATATATATATATATATATATATATATATATATTAGGGTGGTCCTTAATGTGGACATTTTCGAATTTCTTTGCTCCCATGGGCTCAAATGGTTTCAAATTGATAACTATTTGAGCCTTTGGGAGCAAGGAAATTCGAAAATGTCCATATTAAGGACCACCCTAATATATATTTATATATTAATTTTTTTTTCTTTTAAATCCATTAACTATATCTATGACTGGATAGAGAATTCACTTCTCAATTTTGAGATATAAATTGAATGTTCTTACGTTTGCTCTGCTGTTGCAAAATGCAGTCAGCTGACTCATCAGTCTTTAGCGAAACCGCTTTCGATAGTATTTACTCATTTGCAATTGCCAAGTGGAAGAATATAGGAGGAAACATACAGTACCTACAATTTCTTGCTTAATTACTCCCAAACAAATAATTATGGACAGCTTTTGATATCGTAGGAAAAAACTAGAGAGTATAAATAAATAGTTTTATACACACCTGATGTTTTTGGAGATGTTGAGACTGTAATAATTATCGTTGTGTTGAAATTAATTAACCATTATTTTTTATATTTTACTTTCTCAATACAACTTATATTTAATTTATATTTCTGTCACAATATACCCAGTTTACATTAGTAAGGTATCTTAGTACTTTGTTACCAATAATAATATATGAGCATAGTTTAAATTAATTTTTGCTCATGGTCTTTGCTTAGTCATTGGCATTTGGAACGCTATAAAATCAGAGTTCGTCATAACATATGTTCATAAATATAAAATTTAATACTCCTGAGAAATAGTGTTAAAAATACATAGTATGAAATATACGCAGATCTTAACTTGTCTGACTATTCGCTCTAAATGTATAATGTATAGAAGGTAAAGTATTATTCTTGCTTTTGTAAGTAAGGTTTGAATTGCATTAGTTACATATAAATTAAGAGACAATTGCGCATTTTTTTCTGGGAAATCTTATGAGTAAGTTCTATTTTGCCCATGTATCTAATCTTTCTTGAATTGGCCATCATACGTTTTGAAACTATATGGATTATGTAAATTTTATACAATTTTATAATGAATTTTACAGAGGATTTTGCTTTTAATGGGGAAATGCAATAATGAAATCTTTATCCAAGGTAAAACATCCACGTTTCCAGATTTTTGAATTTCTGAACAATTAATGAGATTGAATTTTTTATTACCTCCAATAATTTGTGATTTTTCACTATGTTGGTTCTATTTTTAGAAATTAGTATTTCGGTACCTAACATTTCTCATACTGGACTCTGATTAGGCGAGACGCGTGCGCGGATCAATAATCCTTTGACGTCGAATATCTTGTATTATTTATAATAGAGAATATTTACCGATTTTGGCATCATATTAGAGATTGGAATTAAATATATTTAAGGATCCAGTTTGCTTCTTCAAATGAATGCTACGTTATTTGGAAATATTGCGGTTAATTTAGAAATATTTGCGGTTACAGAAGTGTTACATATCTCGTTAGCTTGATGAAAGGCGCGTGGAAAAATTCAAAACATTCTTAATTGTTAGATTTAAAATGCTAAGCTTCAGATAGTTAAAAAAAATTAAAACTGAATATCTTGGTTAAACAGAACCCAAGGTAATTTTAAATCAAAGTCCTTATTCGATTTGAAAGTCTTTGCTTAGACAAACATTATTCACTGATTATTTTTTATCATACTTATTACTAATTCTCCACGAAACGTACTTCATTTCAATCAATTTTTAATTTACGAACTTTTACTTTTGCACCTGATGATTTATTATTGGCTAGACTCTACTATAGAGTAAACGCTTTCTTTTTTTAATTCTATTAACTTAGATCATTATTTAATTGCGTTTTACACATTTTCAATCATGTGTATCGAATCTATTATATACAATTCTTTGTGGATGTCAGAAAAATGCTAAAGCTGGCGATAATATATTACATTCAGTCTCTATTTTCCCACTTTTTAGTTGTTTTTGTGTATTATTATAATAGGCAATGTCCTGTTTTTCACAATTTTTATATTTATACCTCAATTAACTAAAAAATAAGGAAGGGATGATGGTCAAATAAGATGTGGTGCTTTTACACCATGACTTCGAACAGAGTATCAATAATACAAACACAATTGATGCCAATGTCTGTAATTTTAATAATATATATATATATATATATATATATAATATAATAAAATGATTCTTCTCCTTCAAGACACTGTTTTTGCGACGTGACTAGATCTTACCTTTCATAATAATTTTTACCTCTAATTAACTCGCCAATTTTGAATTTATATTTTATTCAAATATTGTTTATATTTTTATTTTTGGGTAAGGTATTGTAACTGAAGTAACTATTTATTGAGTAAAATATTGTAAACGGTATGTTTATTCGTTTT